TTTTTAAACCATAGTCATATCTAATTTGTAACGCATGGGGTCGGTATTGACCACATGTTATAGAAAGCTGGGATTTTTTCTGTCTCCTCCTTTACGTATGAAGCGTCAGCAGGGCAGTGCTTTGTGCGAAGGACAGGAATGGCGATAAAAAGCAGAAAACCAGAGAGGATAAAATTTTACACGTTGGCTGGTTCTGTGGTGTTTTGTAGATGAAAATAATTTGAATCGCGTCTCCGTCTTTGAAAACAGCGATGGGAAGTGTAAGGAATAATGAAATTCTGTGTTTGCCGATCCTCCTGCTTTTATCCGGCTGGTCTGCGGCTCAGATATCGTACTCTATTTCTGAAGAGGTGGACAAAGGGACTGTGATTGGAAACCTCGCAAAGGATTTAAACGTCAATGTTCGAGACCTGCAAACGAGGAATCTAAATGTTGTGTCTGGATACAGTAAGAGATATTTCGAGACTAATTTTAAAACAGGGGATCTTTATGTTAATGAGAGAATAGACCGCGAGGAGCTCTGTACAAACGTGATAAAATGTACACTAAACTTGGAGGTTATACTGAGCAATCCTATGGTGCTCCGACGCATCGAAGTCACGATTGCTGATTTAAATGATAACGCGCCGACCTTCGTAGAGAAATCATTTTCACTGAACATTTCTGAATCTTCACCCGCGGGCGAGCATTTCTTGCTTCCGCTGGCTCTTGATGCAGACACAGGTAGTAATTCTGTAAAGACTTACAGGCTGAGTGCAAATGAATACTTCTCTCTAGATATACAAGGAGGAGGAGAACACACTGCATCCGCTGAACTAGTGCTGCAGAAGGCTTTGGATCGAGAGAAACAAGCCGTCGTTAAACTAACACTGACCGCTGTAGATGGAGGCAAACCTCCTAACACCGGAAGCGTACAAATTATAGTCCATGTTCTGGATGCAAACGACAACACACCAATGTTTAGCAAAACACTTTATAAAGCACGTGTAAATGAAAATGCTCCAGCCGGATCATTAGTAATTCAACTCAATGCCACAGACTTAGACGAAGGGGACAACGGGAGAGTAATTTACACTTTTGTCAAACGTGCAAACTTCGATCCAGCTGATTTGTTTTTTATAAATGCGGAAACTGGCGAAATCACAGTTAAGGGTCATTTGGATTGTGAAGCACAGTCAGCATATGAAATTCATGTGCAAGCAACAGACAGAGGTCCGTCACCTCGAAGAGCAAATGGGAAGCTATTGGTTGAGATAGTTGATGTAAATGACAATGCCCCAGAAATTGTGGTGACGTCACTCATGAACCCTGTCAGAGAAGATACTGCAATAGGAAGCGTTGTCGCTTTGGTGACAGTGACTGATAAAGATGGAGGGAAAAACGGTCAGACTCGCGGTAAACTTGCTGGTTCCACACCTTTTAAGTTGATTTCAAATTACAAAAACTATTACTCTTTAGTTGTAGACGGACCTCTTGATAGAGAGCAGCGGTCTGTTTACAACGTCACAATTATAGCTAACGATGAAGGTATCCCGTCTTTATCCGCCTCCAGTGTTGTTAATGTTGATATTTCTGATGTCAATGACAATGCGCCTGGTTTCGCTGAACCTGCAATTAATATTTACGTAAAGGAAAATAGACCAGTTGGTGCTCGCCTCTATACTATCAATGCAGTCGATCCCGACATAAATGAAAACGCTAAAGTAACGTATTCGTTGGAAGGCGATTCAAACAGTATCCCAGTAAATTCATTTGTAAGCATCAATTCAGAAACAGGAGATATTATCAGCCTGCAGTCTTTTAACTATGAGGAGTTAAAAACGTTCCACTTTAAAGTTCTGGCCACAGACTCTGGTGTTCATCCGCTCAGCAGCAACGTCACTGTCAACGTTTTAATCCTGGATGAAAATGACAACACTCCCACGATTCTCGCACCATATTCTGAGCACGGCTCCGTTAATAGTGAGAACATCCCCTATTCTGCTGAAGCGGGATACTTTGTAGCAAAGATCAGGGCTGTAGATGCAGACTCTGGATACAATGCGCTGCTTTCTTATCACCTGTCTGAGCCCAAAGGAAACAACCTGTTCAGGATTGGAACCAGCACCGGGGAGATCAGGACTAAGAGGAGATTGAGTGACAATGACCTTAAAACTCACCCCTTGGTGGTCTTGGTCTCTGATAACGGAGAACCCTCCCTGTCAGCTACTGTGTCTGTTGATGTGGTGGTGGTTGAAAGCATGGTTGAAATCCAGACTCAGTTCAGACATGTTCCTGTAAAGGAGGACAGCTTCTCGGACTTGAACCTGTACCTGCTGATCGCCATTGTGTCGGTGTCCGTCATCTTTCTGCTCAGCCTCATCACTTTAGACGGCACTTTCAGCAGGTACAGCGCCCCCATGATCACCACCCACCCTGACGGGAGCTGGTCTTACTCTAAAGCTACTCAGCAGTATGACGTGTGTTTCAGCTCAGACACACTCAAGAGTGACGTGGTGGTTTTCCCCGCCCCGTTTCCACCTGTAGATGGAGAACTGATCAGTATTAACGGAGGAGACACTTTTACCAGGACTCAGACTTTACCTAACAAAGAGAAGGTGAGTTCACCATAACCTTAGACTGGGTTTGGTCTTTGATTTAATCGTAATACGGCAAATTTATTTGTATAGCACTTTTTAGCACACAGCTTATGAAACGGTTACTGAATGGTACTTAAAGCCAGGATTCAGTCAAGCTCCTAAATGACTTAGTACTGAGTACGCTGTCTATGGTGCTGAACTGACCATCGACCATCATTTCTTTGCCAATCGCTTGTTATAAACAGTTGAACAATATGTTGTGAATTTTACATTCATATTTTCTACTGCTTTGTCTATTTTTTACAAAATATACCGTTTCAAAGATCCAATTACGACACATATAATATTTCTAATGCTTGGTAAATACCATACATATCTGCACCAAACAAACAGTTGGTGTCGCTCGAGGCCATAAATTTATTTATGGGTCAGGGTTTTGGGGTTTTTTTGTTGGATTTTTTTTCCTCCAGACTCCTCCTCTTCCTGCGAGTCTGCCGTGGTCCACTAGTGCTTTGTCAAAAACAGAAAAATTGCCACAAGACAGAAACGTCTTTCTCTGTTAGTCTCCTCTGAAGTGGATATGTTCCGAAATTATTATTTCGTTCATTGTGTGGCAGCGACGAGGCGTGGAGGACAAAGACTCACAATGTGGATAAAAATCATAGCTTTGCTCTGTTTGTGTGACGCGTCTGCAGCGCAGCTCTCATACTCCGTTGCCGAGGAGGTTGACAAAGGAACGGTGGTTGGAAATATCGCAAAGGATTTACACATTAACGTTAACGAGCTGGAAAAACGGGACTTACGAATTGTCTCTGGGAACTCAAATAAACATTTTGACGTGGATTTAAAAACTGGTGCTCTGTATGTTTGCGATAGGATTGATCGTGAAGAGCTCTGTCCAAATACTGCGAAATGTTCCCTGAGCGTAGAAGCCATTCTGAACAACCCGATGCATCTGCATCGCATAGAGGTGCAGGTTACTGATATTAACGATAATGCTCCATCCTTCATTGAAAATGAAAAATGTTTAAATATTTCAGAGTCTTCTTCCACTGGGGAGCGATATCTGCTCCCAGTTGCAAACGATGCAGACACGGGCAGCAACTCGGTAAAAAGCTACAAGCTTGGTCCAAATGAATATTTCTCATTGGACGTGCAGAGCGGCGGACAGCACAGTGAGTCTGCTGAATTAGTACTGCAAAAATCTTTAGACAGAGAGAAAAAATCTGTTATTCACCTTGTTTTAACAGCTCTGGACGGAGGAAAACCTCCCCGATCTGGAACATTAAAGATAGTTGTTCATGTTATGGATATAAATGATCATTCTCCAGTATTTAGTCAGCCTCTGTATAAGGCCCAGGTAACTGAAAATACCCAGTTTCAGACCTCTATAGTCACTGTAAGTGCCACAGATTTAGATGAGGGAATAAACAGTGAAATACTGTATTCGTTTATTAAAAGGGGAAATTTCAAACCAGAAGCTTTATTCTCAATAAACCCAGGCACGGGGGAAATAACTGTAGTAGGAGAAGTAGACTATGAAGAGAATACAGCATATGATATTCGTATACAGGCAAGAGATAAAGGTACGCCATCACGAAGTACGCATGGTAAATTGTTAGTGGAAGTAATTGATGTGAATGACAATACGCCTGAAATCACTGTAACTTCTCTTATGAGCCCAGTTAAAGAAGATGCAGAGATAGGTACAGTTGTGGCTTTGGTGACTGTAACAGACAAAGATGGGGGCAGTAATGGACTCACCAGTGCTACACTTCTTGGGGTGGTGCCTTTTAAACTCAAGGTAAATTACAAAAATTATTATTCATTAACAGTTGATGGGCCTCTTGACAGAGAGAGTATTTCTCAATATAATGTAACCATGATAGCCACTGATGAAGGCACTCCACCTCTTTCTAGTACTAGTGTTATCCCTGTTCACATTTCTGATGTGAATGACAATGCCCCTTTATTCTCAGAACCTGTTGTTAATGTATATGTAAAAGAGAATAGTGCAGTGGGAGCTATTATATCAACAATTACTGCCGTCGACCCTGATTTAGTGGAAAATGCTAAAGTGACATATTCCCTGCTCAGTGACTTTTCAAAAAGTATTCCAATAACCTCTGTTGTAAATATAAACTCAGAGACTGGAGATATTATCAGCCTGCAGTCTTTTAACTATGAGGAGTTAAAAACTTTCAACTTTAAAGTTCAGGCCACAGACTCTGGTGTTCCTCCACTATGCAGCAACATCACTGTCAACGTTTTAATCCTGGATGAAAATGACAACAGTCCCATGATTCTCGCGCCATATTCTGAGCATGGCTCCGTTAACAGTGAGAGCATCCCCTATTCTGCTGAAGCGGGATACTTTGT